TTGTGAATAGAGTATAGAAAATATTCTCATGGAGGATCAAACTAAAGAATAATGTTTGTTTTCTACATCAGAGTACACTGGTAGTACGTCAACAAATCAAATTGTAAAAAAACACAGCTTAAAGCTAATTTTTTCGTGCCCACCATTGTTTGTTGAAACACAAAAAAAAAAACTTAATAAAGCAGAAACCGCAAGTAACCGTCAAATATCAAGATTGTTATTTTTAAATCATTCCACAATCATGTTTTTTTTTTGATTATTTCAATCATGAAAAACCGTTATTTTCAGATTTTTTTTTCGATCAAAAACAAACGCTATTTTGGATTTCTATTTTTTATCATTTCTAATCGCTATCATGGAGACTACGATTTTATGACCGATTTAAATCTTTTATAAAAAATATGTAAATAACGGTCATAATATGATCGAAAAAAGAACGATGCAAAATTGTATCAAAAAAATCCACAAGATAAGATTATTCTTAGTCGAAACAAAATAAAAAACATAAAATTCAATTTAAACGGTTAAATTACGATTTTATTATAAAAATCATCACCGTTAGGGTACCTGAAAAAAGCTTAAAAAAATGATTTTCTCACAGAAATATTACTCTGCACATCCATAGTAATTTTTGAATGGTAAACAGCAGTTTTACAAATATTGAAGATTTTTTGTATGGTCGCGGTCGCTATTTATTTTTTATATTCCGGTCCGAATTTTACTAAGCATATTTACGGCAAAGAAAGGCTGGAAAAAAGCCAAGATGCTGGATCCCAAAATCAAGGGCTATGACATAAAATCACATGCTCAATCTAGCCACAAAAATACTAATCTGGCCACACTGGTAATACAACATGCATCCTCAACGCAGCAGTGAGGTGTGACATTGTCAACAAAATGTCATTCATGCCTCACGCAACAAGAAAACATAACACAAAAGTAACAAAATGCATTGTGAAGATGTTGTTGTTGTGAAAAATTTTAAAAAAAAAAAGAAAAAAGAAAAGGCTTTAGATGCCACCAACTGCAGCAAAAGTGTGGTTGCTGAGCACAATCGTTTATCGTACATTGGTAAATTTGTAAATGCATATGTATACCAATGCATGCGAGATAATTTCCTGCTGACATACATAATATTATGAGGGTATGTACTAGGGCTCGTAAAATTATCCGACTATTCGACTAATCGGTTAACCGATTATTCGATTCGTAACCGTTCGCATGCTTATTAGTCGGTTAATGGTATTCGAATAGTCGCCCGCCTTCGATTATTCGAATAGTTACTTTGCTTCGACTACTCGAGCATTGTAGCAAATCGAATTTCAGTAACCGAACTTTCATTGAAACTTCTTTGACAAATGAAAAAATTTTTTTTTAAATATATACATGCACACGTATGTATGTATATTCAGATACAAAAATGAGCGGACGCAAAAGGAGCTGGGTTTGGGATTTTTTCGAAAAACCAGAGGACGGAAAGGAAGTAACATGTTCCATATGTGGTGCAGTTTTGTGCTACAATCATCCACATCCTCACTGAACAAACATTTAACAAAAATCCATAACAAAAGCTCGCGAAAATGAGAGGTAGGTATTGCTTTAGCCATTGTCTCTAAAATATTTCGCAATAACATTTCAATAATTAGCGCACATTCTTGCAAAAAAAGTTTGCCTTAATTTTGCACATGCAATCTTATATATGTACTACGAATGTAACAAGACTTTTCATATATGTATATGTATCTGTAAATGCAAAAAAAAACTCGAACTTAAAATATTCGATTAACCGAAAATGAACGGTTAGCCGAATAATCTAAAGTGAACGGTTATCCGAATAGTCGACAGCTTTCGACTACTCGAATATTGCTAACCGATTAACAGTAGTCGACTTCAGTCAGATTCGAATAATTCGGTTAATCGATTAACCGAATTGCCCGAGCTCTAGTATGTACATACATAAAAATGTAGGTATGTAGATATACATAAATTTTCACCTCATCAACTCCCAAGGGTGTAATAGAGTATTTTATTCCACTCAAAATTATCTCCTCTTACAACTCGTACAAATGCTTTGAAAATGGCAATTAAAATCATTATTTACACATGTACGTGCATGTACGTGCATGTATAGCCAGTACCTATGTACATTCATTCGAAAAGTTGAGATGCATATTCAAATATTTCAAACAACTGAAAATTGATTTCCCCATTGGCAATGCAATGAAATTTGTTGAGCTATAAGTAGATAAGTTTGAGAATTTTCAATTTGCAAGTGGTGCTTTAAATGTTGTAAGTTGTTAATTTAAATGTTCATTTACTTTTTCACAGCGTAGCCACATTTGAAGCATCTTACGAGTAAATTTAGTAAAGATTGGTTTAAGGTTGGTTTTTTAACCTTACAGAAGGCCCGCTTTCCAGTTACCTACCGAGGCCAAAATAGTTTATTTAATTTTTAATTTTATTTATTTCTGACAGCTTTATTAAGCCGATTGATAATTCGATCGCAACAATCAATAGTTGAGTTTATGCTGGTAAGTTAAAATAATTGGAGAACAGATTCTTCGCACACGTAGACCCGCTTAAAAAGCTACATATTTCTAGCTGCAAGATTTCTGCAAGGCCTTAAACGGATAGTTTCCCATGTGGGCGTAATTCTATGCTCAAAGCCGGACAGTGGCTTCCCTCTTCTCCTATATTCTTGCATTTACGATAATGACCCGCTGTATTTACCTGCAGCATCATGGCGTGTAAGCCAATTAGACAGAGGCCGATGATAACCCTCTCAGCTTTCAGGGCTGCCCGACTGTCGGAGAAGATCAATTTCTTTTATTAATGCACTAAAGTAAAAATGCGAAAATGGGTTCATATGTAAGTATGTGCCTTAGGGGGTTTCGGAATTTCTGGAAAGTCTTTAAATATTGATCCTTAAAAAATATAGGTTCACGAGTTTGAAGTTTATTCGCATAAATAAGGTCATTTGAGTAGCCTCATAAAGAAGTCCAAAGGTGTCTAGTCGAATGATCTCGGTGTTCAACTTTCATAAACTAAAACGCAAAGGAGTTGTTTCAGGCCCGCTTAAACTTACTAAATCCTACTACCTACTACTATGCTGAAACCTAATAGTTATGCAGTGTACATTGTTTTGGTCCCCGGCGAAGTCTATCGGTCTCAGTATTAAGTATTATGGTGGCTGTATTATCGGACTATGGGGAAAGACTCCTTCTTCTACCATAGTTTCATACTATATCCAATAAAAGAGCTTGACGGATGCCACGCCCCTCAGTGTGGCAAATCTCGCCGATAGGCGGCCCAGAGGAATCGGTCATAGTAGATGACGCCCGTTCCCAAAAAACCCCTTCGGAGACATTTGTATGCTGATACAAAAACAACTATTCCTTCAGCTTTAAGTAGCCGAAACGATCCAGATTCATATCTAGCCAAGAACTGGCAATATGTTATGACAACAACAACAATACATGGCGAAGAAGACCCTCTACATCACGGATAGAAGGCGTCTGCTCTCATTTAAATGCCAGCTGTAGTTTACATCGCTAGCTCTTACGTTTCGCCTACAATGTCGTCGCAATTGTTGGATAGTGTATAGGTCGCATTCTCTGAAACATCGCCTGACCGGGAAAATAGAAATTTAAGAATGAGGGTCTGGATCTCCTTACTTACACTATAGTCTATAGTCTTTTTAACACTTGGTGATTTTTTTTTCAATAGCACATATTTTAGTGGCGAGTTCTAAATCCATGCCCAAATCTTTAGTAAATATAAAAGTCGTACAGTCTTCCAAGGTAATTCTTCGTAGACAGACGCTACAGATTTCAGTTGGTCCTTAAATCGAATATATAGGAGTGGTCCTCCTAGAGAGCTCCTGAGTTGAGGTTATCTCTGCTATATTCCATTAAACGTTAGAATAAATTTAGCTTAATACATACATACATATTATCAATGTATAAGTAGTTGTCGCATTATCATTTGTTTAATTTACGTAAAAACTTAGGAATTCAAGAATTCTGTATGCACAAACAACCAATGGGAATTTCTCTATCCCCATGCACTGTATACGAAAGCGTTTACTGTTGTAAAAATGCCTTTATCACAGACTTAGCAGATAAGATAAAAAGCGTTTCAAAAATAGTAGTTAGACTTCTCAAACCTAATACAGCAAATTTCATGAATAGCAGCTATGAGAAAGACCAATTAAACTCAAAAGTATATTGTGTTATCTGTTGTAACTATGTCAATGGCACAAACACATATTTTTATGTAAATACCTAAATATGTATTAATGCAGCTGAAGTTTATTATGTAGTATTTAAGTAAATATACACTTGGGAGATAATTGCCTCATAAACTTTTTGTGTGTATAGTATAATAATAATAGTAGGTAATTATTTTTAGTAGGTGCATAAACCGAGTAGCATATGGCGTAAATTCCCGGGCGCACACATTTTCACACAGTAACTAAATTTGGTGCAATAAAATTATAGCTAATTTTATTTAATAAATCGTAGTGAAGATAGATATGTACACAATGCGTCATTTGAGTAGCCCATTCTTTTGATCTTCGGTATGTACAGTTTCCCTTTTGTTTGTTTAATATTCATAATTTATTTATAAAAATGTAGCAAAGTATGCTCGACAAAATTTTTACATCGAAGAAAATGCGCAGCATTGTCAACAAAAAAAAATAATTGTCAAAAATCAACGATATTTTGTAGCCACTTGAAACATGCAATTTATTATGCTAAAATTTAATGGGCTACAAAACTGCAAATCCGAAATTTTTCTAAAAATATTGTTAACTTATGCACTGCAGACCATTTTTATAAAATTTTAAAATCGGTTTTACAAGTAGAATATGATGCTACATTTTTCCACAAAATTAATGAATATTAAAGAAACAAAAGGAAAACTGTGCATACTGAGGATCATACCCTGCTATTCAAATGACTCTGAGTATACATATGTATGCTTAGTATTGTACTTACGCTTCGCAATATGGCAATTTGTTGTATCCTTTGTATGTTTTCATATTCAATGTCATGCCACATTCTGTGCACTTGAAACATGTCTTGTGCCATGTCTGAAAGTAGAAAAGAACAAAAAAAAAGTATTATTGCAAATTTCTAATAAATTTAAAATTGTAAATTTTTAAAGTATTTATTACTTTCTTTCACGCATTAAGAAAACATCGCGAAAAAAACATAAGTGACATTTTCTTAACATGTTTCAAAAATCAATTTTCGAAAAAAAATCGCTTAGGTTTTTACCTAGTTTGATTTTTTGATATTATTAACATTCGATGGAAGGGTATCAATACATTTGATATTTAATAAGTTAAAAAAATTGCCGGGGGTAAACTCGAAAACTCGAAAATTAAAAATAAAGCTCATGTTTAACTAATTATTTAATTAAATTTTTTATTGTACATTTACAGGGCAATTCTGGCAACTGTCTTTCAACTGACCACAGTCTTTCGAAAGACTGACTGAAAGATCTGCTAACGAGGAGGTCTTAGCGTTATGTTGTTCGCCTTTAGCAATACGTTTTTTTTTTAATTAAATTAAATTAAATAATCATACAAACGTAAATTAAATAATCATACATATTTTTCCTTTTTAAAACAAGTAAAATTAATAAATAAATCAAATTGGAAAAAGAAAAAAATAATAATCAAAAAAGATGAAATAGTACTTAAAATTAAATTAGATTAAAGATATTTTTATTTAAAAAAAAAAAAACAATTAAAAAAATTAATAAGATCCAAAATATTAAATGAGATAAAAAAAAAATCCTTTTAAAACAATAAAACCTAAACATTAAAAGAAAATTCAATTACCCACTTTTAAATAAAAAATAAATTTCTAAAAAATAAATGTAAGTTAAGAAATTATTTTTCTTATTTACACAATAAAATCTGAAAATTAAAAGCAAATTTAACTAAACAACTAATAAAAAATTATTTAAAAAAGAAAAAATCAAATAAGTTCCTAAAAATTAAATGAAATTAAAAAAATATACATATACTTTTTTAACCTATAACAGCCCAACCACAAAAAAAAAATTAATTAAAAACGAAAAAATAAAATAAGTTTCTAAAAATTTAATTAAAAAAAAAATAAATAAATGTCTGGCTTCCGAGTAACAACCAAGTGCTTCTTAAAGGTCTTCAACACTCTTGATACAGTTTTTGGGCTTACTTTCAGCTCCCGAGCAAATTTTTTTTAATATCCACTGAGGGTGGTCTTGAAAACTGTTCGTTTACCGTCTAGCGAAAATATTTGAAAATGGCAGACCTTACATACAATTTTAGTACCTACATATGTATTTGACTAGTTTTGCTTAAAATTTTTTTTGTGGCAGTAAACTTAAAATTTAGTTTTTAAAATATGCATTTTAATTGGTAGCATTAGCGTTTAGCTAAATATTTTGTTGATATAAAAAAACAAATAAAGCAAATACGTTGCATGGAGAATTTAATAATAAAAAGCATAGCCAATTGAAATTATATTTTGCATTCTTTTCACTTGCTCTCCATTATTCTAGCTAAACGTGCTTCATAAATAAAGCACGATGAAGCAATCAAAATCCGTATATAAATATGTTGGTACATATGCAGTAAATCATAAACAATTTACAAAAACCAACCAAAAAATGCATAAACATGCTAAATGCATACACCACAGCATAATTCCGAAACAGAACATAAAAAGCAACGCCATGAGCTAAAGAAAAAAATAATAAAATACATTAAATTTACACAAATATAATGAATTTCTCCTATACGACTGACCGACTGCTGTCAGCAACAAGTTACGTTAGATTAGTACGTGGAACTACGTGGTTGATAAAAATAATGTTTACTGCATTCCTAAGCTACGTACATATCTAAAGGGTATGTATTTAGTACTTTATGTGCGTATACACATGTAGGTTTGTACGTATGTACTTATTTGTGTTTGCTTACCAAGTTAGAATAACATCCCAACGAGTTCTTTCGTGAGCACTCTTCCAAACCTATAGCAGTCATTTTTGAACAGATTAAAGAAAAAACTTTCACCTATGTACTTATATTTCACCTCGGATGATCGAAGCTACTGACTAGTTTCAAACTAATTCCTTTTTTTCTACTTTGGTTTGATCACTAAAAACTTTTAAAGGTAAGGATTCTCGTAACCGATCAGAATAATTCTCATGAGAATTATCATCGGAGACGAAAAACCTCAACTGCCTCGAGAGAAGCGACATACCTAATAAGTGTCCGGCTTGTGAAGGCATCGCACACGACCCCACCAAACACTTCTGCACTTGCTTCCTTAAACGATACTCACTTAACACCCCTTTCACTCTCCGTCGAAACAGCATGTTTCCACATCCTGCCATTAGTTGAGCATGACGACAACGATTTTTAGACTAGCCGATTTGGGCAGGGCTTACTAGTATCGCTACAACAACAACGACAGGTAACTAAAAGACCAACCAAATCTCCCGCTAACCAGATCTTAGAAAAAGGTATTCGGTGTTCCGAAATGCGACACCGACTGGACGCAAGCATAATCGAATCGTATTGTTAGACATGTCAGCGATACATTTATTCCAAATTGTGTCGGCTTTATGTGCCGATAGGTAGGCGTAGGAGTTCTATGTCATTGCCGACGATGGCATAACCCCACGGCGCTCGAAAGCACAGCGACAGTATGGGGCAGACATTTTAACCACCTGGGTAGGGCTTGAAGCCTATCTAAAGCCTCTGGGTCTACCCACATTCGGGTATTAAACAACAGCCACCACAATACTTCCCATGGGCCCGTATCCAAGAACAGGCCAGAGTAAACTGTGAAGGCGTCTTTCCCCCGTACCAGAATTAAGTATCTGGTCAGACCTTGAATTTGAGCTTCTACTCAGCTCCCGAGGCCATTGACTAGGGTCCTCGGGGTTGTCAGGCACATACATAACTCCACTTATGCGGAGTCCCCTTGAGAGAAGTTTTCTCGGCAGTGGGCCCCAGCACGATTAGTGAAGAGCTCAAAAAAGAAAGAATAAGATCTAGATAGATAGATCTATTGCTAACCCCTACCAAGTAAATCTTCCACCTTAAGTTTCCTCTTACTTCTACACAAAAATGACTTATCCTTACTTGCGAATTTCCATCCCGAAATGTTCGGATTCTTGGTTAGTGTGGTCATAATTCCCTTAGCCTTTTGGCGATCATGTAACCCTGAACCTTTTTTCGAGCCATAAGTCGGTCGGATTTGAACTGTTTAACAACCCTGTTTAACAAAATATTGGGTTGACTAGTACAAAGTCTAGTTTAAGTCATTATGGCAGGGGATAATTAAAAAGTACACATGTGAAGTTGAGTTATTACAGCAGAACCGTTATATGTACACAAATGGCCAGTCATAAAAAATTAAATGATAAAAAGCTTCATTAAGTAATTACAAGTCGCATCTGATTGCTGAGGACGCAGTCAAACAGCAGCTAATGAAAGTCGACGCGAGTACATAGTATACACCTTGCACGGAAATGCAATGCATTCAAACTAATTTGACAATAGATGGACGCTGACGAGTTGCAAATAGCAGGCGAAAGCAGAAGTGCGAGCTGCATGCGCAAATGTGATTTACGGGAAATACAAAAACGCACACACAACCCATACGTGCGTTCATTCACATGCGAAGAAAAAATGATGCTTTGCTAAAGTCCCTGTTTCGTTTGGACGCTTCGTTGCAGTGCATTATGGCACATGTTGCAGTCAACTACCGGGCACAGCACCAGCATCAGCAACCTGTGTGGCGTGCTCACAGAAAAATCTCGAATTACAGCATTGCAGCAACATAGCAAACTTTGACGGATGGACCGCATATGGATGTGACCGGCCATAGCGGCATGCGTCTGTCTGTCAATCACACCTTTTTAAGTGCTTATCTGCTGAAATATTTTATATGTACACTTGTCCACAAAATAATAGCAGTACGATAATGTTTATTATTTTTTTTTTTATAAAAGTCTAGCTGGTTTTACAACAAACACCAAACTTTGTACAAAAATTATAAAAAATCTGCAAATTTTCAACAAAAATTCAAACTTTTTAATCAGAATTTTTAGTTTGGTATGTAGTTTTGTAGCTCATTCAATTCTAGCATAATGAAGTGCAAGTTTCAAGTTGCTAAAAAATTCTGCTGATTTTTGAGAATTTTTGCACTTTATTATACTTGAATTGAAGGGGCTACAAAACTGCATAACAAATTTTTTTCTCAAGATTCTGATTAAAAAGTTTGAAATTTTGGTGAGAATTTTTTGATTTTTTATACTTTTTGTAATTTTTGTATAAAGTTTGAAATCTGAATTTATATGGTGTTTGTTGTATAACAAGCAAGACGTAAAACAAAAAAAATAAACATTAAATAAACAAAAGATAAATAGCCAAAACTGGTCAAAATATCGCACTCCTATTATTTTGTGGACAACTGCATGTACGTAGTATTAAAAATATTATTATTAAAATCAAATCAAAAGATAATGTATAATGGATAATCTAATACGCTGCTGCGTACAGTTCAAGCGGAAAAGCTGCTAGGAAAAAATTTAATCGACATGCGATGATGTGAGCAATCATATTTATTCATATGCAAATGTAAATTCATACTATGTATTAGAGTGCATAACTTTCCAGAGAAAAAAAAATCGGCAGAGTCCATCGGACTTATAAAATTGGTTATATTTTAAGAGTCCCGCCAAAATGTTTCGGCAAAATATTTCCATTTACGTGCGCCAGACCTATTGGAAAATACTCCCATAAATCGAGATTTTCATAAATAAAATTATTTTGAAAATATTTTTTTTTTTAAATCACCTCAGATCAAGACAGAATTTAAGCTTAAAAGGTTTGCGTAAATGTTTAAAAATTTTATTAACGGAATAAAATAGATTTGTAAAAGTTCAAATCGGTTTAGCTCACGTAAATTTAAAAATTTTTCACGAAATATTTGGTCGGAAGTCTTAAAATATAACAAACTTTATATTTCCGATGGAAAAACAGTGCCTATTTTAATTGTTTTTTTTTTTTTAACCGACTTCCGA